CTGAGGTCCTGAGTTCAATCCCAGATCTGACAAAGACAGGAGGATCCCAGGGGCTCTCTGTTAGCCCGTCTATTAACTTGTGAACTCCAGCTTCAGTGTGACTCTTCTGTGAAAGTAAGGCAGAGGGGCTGGGGAGGAGGCTAAACAAGCAAGATCTCTTACTGCACACACAGGAAGGGCTGAGTTCTAATTCCCCCTAAACCACATCAAGGTTGGAAGTGCTCTCACACTGTACTGTAACCCTCAGTATGGCAATCGCTCCCTGCGTGCTGGCTTGGCTCCAGGTCCACTGAGAGCCTCTGACTCAAGGGAACGAGTCAGAGCAATAGAGTAGGGAACCTGACATCTTTCTCTGGCTTCTGCGTGCTTGCATGGTGTACCTCTATCACATGTGTGCACACACACATATACCACACATGTGCACATACCAAAAGAAAAAAGAAGTAGCCAAGCGACTTTAGGGAGGGGTCCTAAATAGCCTGAGACACGCTCTTTGCTTCTTTCCTTTCTAGTCGGAGGAATGAAGATGTGATGGATGGTACCCAAGCAGCTCTTTTGGTCTGTAAGGAGGCAGTGGAGTGGTTATTGAGGGTGTCTGGCTGTGGATTCTGACCTTACGAAGCCACCTGCCAGCCTAGACTGCCACCTCTGGACCTCTTCTTACGTTTGTGAGGGAAATCAATCCTTTCTCACTTAAGCTGCCCTTTTCTTCTTTCCTGTTGAAGCATGCAGCTGAACTAGGACACTGCTGCTGGTAGGAAGGGTGGGAGGCAGCTTGTGAGGTCTAGGCTGGAACAAGGTCAGTGATGAGACGGAGGAGCAGGTGCCCTACTGATGCAGGGAGACAGGAGCTTGCGGGAGAGGTTGGTACTGAAATCTGGGGACTGCAGCATGGATCCTGGTGGCTCTCAGAAGCTTGAGTGAGGAGTAGCATTGCAGCCTGTCTTAGAGTTTCTATTCCTGTGACAAAATACCATGACCAAAAAGCAAGTTGGGGAGGAAAGGGTTTGTTCAGTGTATACTTCCATGCTGCTGGTCATCACTGAAGGAAGTCAGGGCAGGAACTCAAACAGGGCAGGAACCTGGCTGCAGGAGCTAATGGAGAGGCTACAGAGGAGTGCTGCTTACTGGCTTGCTCCCCATAGCTTGCTCAGCCTGCTTTCTTATAGAACCCAGGGCTACCAGTTCAAGGCTAGCATCACTCACAATAGTCTGGACCCTCCTCTGTCAATCATTAAGAAAATGTCCTACTGGCTTGCCTATAGCCCGATCTTATTGAAGAATTTTCTCAGTGGAGATTCCCTCCTCTCATCTGTTTTTAGCTCCTGTTGATATAAAACTATCCAGTACAGAGCTACAAACCTAGAGTCCAGGGTGCAGAGGGGACAGGAAGCTGAGAGGATACAGTATAGTTTAGTTTCCAACAGGGGCAATGATATGGTGGACAAGGGGAAAAGTCACAGCTAAGAAGGGACATTGGGGCCAGGAAACCCAAATGCAGACATCACACAGAACCTGTGAAAACGGGGTCCTTGTGTGGGACTGGCTGCAGTTATGGATAATCTGAGAACTGTGTCTGTGAAAGAGGAGAGTGTAGGGAGGTTTGTTCACAGTGGAACCCTGTGAGGCTGCAGGAAAGAGGAACATAAATAAAGGGCCCATGACACAGATGCTGCGAGGAAAGATAGCCTTGTAAGTGAGGTTTATCCAAACACAGCAATCCCCAGTAAGAGATCTGGGGTGACTAGGTGGGTACTGTCAGGCCTCTGACTTCTGAGAAGCTCCTGTGAGACTCTTCCTTACAACACCTTGGGAGAAATGCTGGTTTCTCGAGACAACAGGCCAGGGCTCTAAGAGGACTGACTACTATCTTCTGCTAGGATGCTCTGTGAATGCTTGAGCCCTACCTGTGACACAGCATGCCAGGTGCACATGAAAACCCCAAAGCCTGAACATGAGATGATGGCCAATTGATAATCTGTAGTAGTACCCAGGCTGGACAAAGCTGGGGTGAGAGGTTCCTTGAGACCTGAAAACCTGGCACCATTCAGAATAAGCATCCAAGCTCAGGCTGTGGATGAGGATTCTGGAAACTCCCGGGAGAAGCGGGTGAAATGACCTGATTGGGGCTGAAGCAAGATCATCATGGGTGCCTATTCTGGCTGCTGGGCAGGAAGTTCTTGTGGTCCCAGAGATGGGGAGGAAGTTGGCACACTCCCCTGTACCTGGATGATGCCTAGGCCTACGGACCCTGCTATGTCCAGTGGCATGTGCTGTTGCACAGATGAGGGTGAAGGTGAAGTTTATGCCTCACTTGCATTACAGAACAGGAATCACAGTAAGGAAAAGGGGGACAGGAGATAGATGATAGACAGACAGACAGACAGACAGACAGACAGACAGACAGACAGAGAGATAGAGAGGGGCAGCTGGAAAAACAGAGATGGATGAATTCTAACCTTGATATAGACTGAGCCATTCGTCTCCCACCTCACTGACTGTACTGGGTCCTAGGTTCTACCTCCTTATAAGGCTGGCTGGGAAATGTAGTTTAGGGAGGAAGCCAGGTGGGGTGTGGGGAACAAGGGCCCACCTTTTCCCTCATGCCTCTATGTGCCCCTACTATGTCTCATAGGTCAGAGACTCTGAGTAAAGGGTAAAAACTGCGCTTCTTTCAGCCCCTGGCCTGGCTGCTTAATCGGTTCTCGCTGGATGAAGGAAGGGGTGAGGAGAAGATGGAGAAGGAGGGAGAGGCCTGACCTGCACCAGCCAGACCAGTCAGGATCATTCCCGTAGACTAACCTATGGTGACACTAGATCATTCACAACTGGACCTGTGGTTTCTAACTTTGCCTTGGGACAACTATTCCTTTTGACTTTCTGTGTGCTTTTTTTTTTTTTTAACTGATTCAATTTATCTGAAGGGAGGAGCTAAGTCCAAGGTCTGCATGCAAATGTAAGAGCTGGTCGTCACAGCTTCCTAAGAAGCTTCCAGAAGCATTCTATGCTTAGGAAACCTGGCATGTCAGTTTCCCTGTCACTGTGGTTATGTTTCTTACCTTCTACTGTTATAGAAGAATCTTCCTGGGAAGGAGGGAGGTGGGACAGAAGAGAGTCATTAGCCATTTTCTATGGCTGTAACTCAGTAGTATGTCAGAGAATTGAAGCTTGTCAGGCCCACAGCTGTGGAACTTCAAGAGCATTGTCAGCGGCATGGTGTTTCACTGTGGTAGATCTAAAACCCCAGGAGCCAGGTGACCAGGAACTGGACCCCAAAGCCATAAGAAATCTTTTCTCCTTTAGGTTGATTTTCCTGAGAATTTTGTCACTGCTATGAAACTAAAATAGCATCTCCTTTTACAGATCTGTGTGACCTGAAGCTCAGCAAGTCCAGGTCACACAGTGGGGGTGACTGTCCCTAGCAATGGCAGCCCCCATGCCTCCTTGCCTCCTTCCCTGGCTCATCTCAATTCTCTTTTTAGGGTCTTTGACTTCACTCTCTGGCATTCTCAGAATTCTGGGGATTTTTTGTGTGTGTGCATATGTTCCCCCATATCCCAGACAGGGCACCGACAACAGATCGAGAAACAGCTCCACTGAAGTCCAGCTCGGTGAGCTGGTGAGTTTATTGAGCATATTTATAGAGTGAGGGGTTGCTTACATGAATATGGATGACCCCCAAGCAACTGTATCACTGGAAAATCACAGCCTAGCATGGGTGATGGTATCTCCATAGCTGCATAGATGGAGTCCCTTCTTTGGCTAACCTACACTCTCTAGTATACGGGTACCCTTGAGTCCAGTTACACATAGCTGAAGCGGGACTTCAGGCAAGGGTTTCGTGTTACTCTCCTGTCCTTCTTGTGAGGAGGTGAACATCACCAGGTCCAATCTTGAGGCTCTCTTGTGGGAGTTAAAGCTGCCCCGATGAAGATGTTGATGATCGTTATGTCCAGAGAACAGAATTCTTACAACTCTTCCTTTCTTTTTTTTTTTTTTTTTTCGGTTTGGTTTTTTGAGACAGGGTTTCTCTGTGTAGTCCTGGCTGTCCTGGAACTCACTCTGTAGACCAGGCTAGCCTCGAACTCTCGAACTCAGAAATCCGCCTGCCTCTGCCTCCCAAGTGCTGGGATTAAAGGCGTGCGCCACCACCGCCCAGCTCTTCCTTTCTTTTTACAAGAGGCAGAAGCTTGTTGTATTTCCCCAAGCCTGGTGTTAAAACCAAGATGAAGGGGAGACAGAAACAGGGAGCCCCTGCGCAGTGAACTCCTCCAGCCCATGGCCCTGTGATACATGTAAATAAATGGCCATTCATTTAAGGAGAAATTCATGACTTCGTTGTTAAAAATAAAAGCCCCCCCATCTCACCAAAGGAGGAAGGATTAGAACTTACAACTCTGAAAAGAAGAAGGTAATGGAAGGACCAATCAGTGGGCATCAAACTGATTGTCAAGCCTCAAAACCAGTCACCTTTGAATGTTAGCCTGAGTAAAGGGCATCCTAGAAGGCTGAGGTAAAGGGAGGCATGTAGTGGAGGCTGGGGGATGGCTAGAATGGGGATCAGCAAAGAGGATACCTAGGCTCTAGGTCCTAGAGGAATGTGTCTGTGGGTGGCTTCGGTGTTAGGGAGCAAGTGTGTGTGTGTGCATGAGTGTGCGTGTCCGTGTGTGTGTGTGTGTGTCTGTGTGTATGTGTGTATGTGTGTGTGAGACCAGAAGACAATGGTGTTAGGGTAGCATGTGTGAGATGTAGTGGAGGTGGAGTAGGCAAAGAAGGGCCTGCCCCCTCAGGCTCTGTGCACAGCTAGGTCTCTGTACCACAGTGACTGTGTGAGTGTGTATGTGCCACCACATTTAGTGGCTGCCCTTGGGCGTAGGAGGAGATCTTATCAGTGTTAGGTGTGTGTGGAGTTTCAGGCTACCTCATCACCCCCCAGTCTCTCCACCTCCCATTGGGCCTTGCCCCTCATCCTCTATACAGGAAGTGGGCTCGCCCTGGGTTTCAGTCTGCTGCTGGCCTAGCTGTTGTCTGCCACCTAAGCTGCGGAGCAGGAGATGGCCGTGGACCCAGTCTCCAGTAGGACTGCAGGGAACATATCGCCACAACTCCATGTTGCAGCCAGGTGATGTTCCTCTGTGGTCCCCTGGGAGCCCAGGGCACCCACTACCTCTTGCTGGTCATCCCAGGGGACAGGGAGCTGGGGAGGTGCTCATCTCTGACTTGGTTCCCTTTGTAGTTTCGTTCTGGGCTTTGATGCTAAACTTTGTCTTAGGATCCCCTGGGGATAGGGTAGCCTGGTTGTCATGGTTTCTCCTTTAAGAATAAGACCCTTCCAATGTCAGGGCGCAGTGGCTTCTTCCCAATCTATACTGTGGGAGGCTGTGAGCTATTTTGGCTATGAGGGCCCTCCCTGGGCCCTGTGTGGTGATGTTTTAGCCCAGAAGGGTGGAGGAAAAGGTGAGTAGCTAGAGTCAATGCTCAGAGGCTGCATGTTGTGTATGGGGCAGGTGGAACCCAATTCTAACTCCTGTGAGTACGTCTCAGCCTAGGGACTAGTCCTTAGTGAGGAAAAGAGAAGGAATTCATCCCTCCTGGGACCTGGCTGTATAGTCAGCTATGTTGACTGACAGGTTTATGAGGGCCCTAGGCTGGAGGTCAGAGGTAGTGTTCTAGCTTAGATTTGTTTCAGACATTACTGAATGGCCAGAGAGGTTAAGAGCATCTCCAGACACTGGACTCCATCTCCAAGGATGCCTGAGGTAGGAGCTTCCCACCTTTAGCTATGTTTGTAACACTTCAGGGCCAAGGTGGGTGGCTGCGGAAGGCAGGGCTACCTTTGAAGGTCCCCTTTCTTTCACACACTCCTCAGTTGAACAGCAAGAGGTGAGCAGTGGTGTGTGTGTGTGTGTATCTTTGTGAATGTGCATGTCTCTTGGGAGGTGGCCAGAGAAAGGATCTCTGAGGTCAAAGGTCACCAGGTCTGATAAACAAGCTCCTGCTTGTCATTCTCCCTCAGTTGACCCTGGACCTCACAGACCTCTGGGGCCTCAGTCTGCCCCAGTGCTGGAACTTTTATCCTGGGAAACAGGCTGGTTTATTCCTTGATCTTCTCATGTGGAAAGAGAAGTCACAGAACCTGCTCTTGCGCTGTGAGACCTCTCTGTGACATGTGTGGGTCAGTCTGACGCAGGGAGTATGACATGACTGTCACTCATGGCTGACCCTCCTCTATCAACATCATCACTGTACTGGAAATCAGGTGACCCAGTTAGAACAGCCTGGGTCTGTGGGATGACAGACCTCGTCAGGGCCTCAGTGGAGACATATGAGTCAGGGGTGGGAACGTCTGGTAGTTGTGAAGGGCATGCGTGGGCGAGCCTCAGGGGGACAGTGCCTGGGACTCTGAGATCTTGGGCTGTGCTTGCTCTGTCCAAGGCTGGCCTCATGCTGTGTGGTTTTGAGTATTTTTTTTTGGGTCTCCCAGAGATTCCATTTCCCTCTTGCTGAAGGAGGCTGCAACCACCCTGACTGCTTGGAACTACCCTCCCTCCCAGCCTGACCCTTCCAGAACCTTCCATAGGGTCTTCCGTCTAACACTGTTCATGATGGGTAGATGCTCCTGTGCCTCTTCAGCCAGGGGTGGGGAGCAGGCTTGGGTGCCTTTTCCTGGACATTCTGTGCTTTTGGCTGGGGCTGAGGTCTGTCTATAATGGTGCCCCTTTCATTCCTCTCCTCTCCCCTAGGGTTATGTCCTCCCCTACCCTCAACCCCCATCACGAGGCTGCTCAGATGTCTGGTCTAACCTGGCTTGCTGCCTCATTGAAGACCTATAGTGCTTCAGACCGTGTTGGGCTAGCAAGGGGCTCTGGAAGGCCCTTGCTTGGGCTCTGCAGGGACCTGTTAGGGCTCCCTCTCTCCCCAAGCACCTGCAGGGACCTGATCCTCCAGGGCAGGGAGGTCTTGGGTGGAACCCCAGCTCTGTAGACTTGGCCCTGGAGGCCTTGGTCTCCTTGTCTGATAGAAAAGACACCAAACAGCTGCTGAGCTGCTGGGCAGGATAGAGTAGCTGGACAGTGTTCAGTGAGCATACCTGGCAAGGACTGTCACCAGGCTGCCCTACATCACTCGCTGCTCTATAGACCCCTGAACACAGTCCTTCGGTGCAGGACATTTATTGAGGACCTCCGGTGTTACAAGTTCAGCACTTTGGAGTGGGCACTCTGTTTTGACAGTCTGGCAGATGTCATGCCAGAGGGATGCAACCCAAGGCAGATGGTCCTTCCTTCATGGAGGAACCAAGGGGAGTGCCACAGAACTAGCAGAAAGGGGAACGGGAAATGGGCCTTAAAGGATACCAGGAGCCTTGTGGGTAATGTGGGAAGGACAACTCCAGTGAGGCCTTTAGAGGACCAGACCAGAGCTACCAGCTTGTGTAGACTGTAAGCGCCACCTAAGGCAGGGCACAGTCTTGCCCTCTGGGCTCCTCAAGGCTGAAGGAGCTTGCTGCTCTTGGTGGCCCTGTGATAGATATTCATTTAGAAATCAGAGACCCCGGAATGAATGGATGTCCAGATGTCTCTTGTTCTTACAGACTGTCTATGACTCATATACACAGGCATGTATGTGCGTGCGTGCAAGTGTGCATGTGCGTTGCTGAGGTCTTAAGCTGTCCTTCTCTATCCTGCTCGGGGCCTGAGTGATTCCTTTGACCATAGCAACCATAATGTGGATGCCGTCCACCCACTAGTCATCCTGGGGACTTGACTGCCCAATCACCTGTGCAGAGCTCACAGAGCTGAGTCCTTGTCACCTTACCTCACCTGGGTACGTGGGGTGGGCATCTGTCAGAAGACACTTTGGGTGGGAGAGACCTCATTCACACTGTACTCAGGAGAGCCGGTGAATGTCCCTAGGAGCTTCTTGTATTACCACCTACTGCCATCAATTTCTTGTGATGGGTTTGTAATTTATAGGGAAAGCAGAGTCTGTGTAAGGATTGGTTTGGTCTGTTTGGTTTAATCCCTAGAGGTTCTAGAACATACTCTGAGGGACAGATTTACTTATTATTGTGCACAAACAGTGTCGATGTACAATGTTAAGGAGAGGACAGCTGATTAGGATCTGGAAGGAAGAAGGAATGAGCTCATTCGGGACAGAGGGCCTGGGGCTGCGCTGCTCCGGCTCTGGCTGGGCAGAGAGCCGAGTGGGGTGGGGGTTCTGACATGGTCTCACTTTGCTCTCCTTCTCCACTTAGGGCTTGCGTCCTCAGCTCTGCCTCTTGGAAATGATGGCTACCATAGCTCTTTCCTGGCGTCTGTCCCTCTACGTCCTCCTCCAGCTCCTGGCTACACCTTGGGCGTCTGCAACAGTGAAAGGTGAGGAACCAGCAGCTTAATGTCCATACTTTCCCAGGTGGGAGGGCACATCCCAGATTCCTGCTTCAGAGAGGAAGTCCATCCAGCCCAGGAGGCAGGGGAAGAGGGACAAGGCGATGGGACCCAAGGACAGGTATCTATCTTCCTGAGGCCTGCACAGGCTTCTCCCAGACACAGGCAGAGGCTGTTGCTCGGGCCTGCTTGGCCATCGACAGGGGCTCTGTTTCTTCCCTTTGAAATGGGTCTGAATTGGGGTTGTGCCAGGTGGCTCAGTGGACAGAGTGCCTGTCATACAAGCATGAGAACTGGAGTCCCGAGTTCCAACACTCACATAAAAACAAGTCAGGAACGGGCTGGCAAGGTGGCTCACTGGGCAGAGTGTTTGCCCCACAAACCCGACAACCTGAGTTCAATTTCCTAGATCCTGTGGTGGAAGGAGAGAGTTCATTTCCAAAAGATGTCCTCAGGCCTCTATACATATATACTATGGTATCTGTGATGTGTGCATCTACATGCATGCACATAAACACACACACACACACACACACACACACACACACACACACACACACAC